CAGACCGATCTCCCTGTTGTGTCATTTGTACAAAGTTTACGAGCGAATGATTCTCAGACGCATAGAGAAAATCGTAGAATATGCCTGTCCTGTATGGAATAGATCGAGCCATGCCAAACAAGTTGATGTTGCTTTAAATGAAACGTGCCGAATAACAACAGGGTGTATGAAAGCAACAAGCTTATTTCAACTTTACAGAGCCTCCGGATTTGCAGCTCCCTCACAGCGGCGCAAAGCGGCTGAACACACTGAAAAGTTTAAACAGATGTTCGACGAGCGCCATCCGCTTTTGGCGAGTTCAAGGATCAAGCAGACTCCGATCTCGGAAAAACTTTTTAAAAACTGTTCAAGAAGATCCACCGCTTGATTATCCTCTTAGAGAAGAAGATTCTGCAGGCCAACATCTTGATTGGGTCACGTGGAAGTCCCTAAACCGCATCAGAACAGGAGTAGCGCCTGTTAAAACCAACAAAGCGAAATGGGGACTTATCACGGATGAAGACACAAAATGTGAATGCGGCGAAATCCAAAATATGGAGCATCTGCTGTCATGCATAAGATGCCCTCATACATGTACCCTTGAAAATTTATGGAACGCCGATGAAAATGCTTTAGACGTCGCCCGGTACTGGGCTAAAGAATTTTAAATTATAATTGTACATTATGTACCTATATGGTCCGGATACGAAAAAGAAAAAAGAAAGAAGTTTTAATTACAGTTTTATAAAAGTAATTATTTCAAGAATATCCGACCCATTTTTAGAAATACTGAATAAATAAACTGTGAGATATGTAAAGCGAACTTTTAATTGTGAAATACCTCGAAATAATGCACCCACGCATATTTTTCATAATATCCGAATACATTGGCCGGAGCACTCATTAGAGAGATACTCCGCATTTAATCGAATACTAATCATATTGCTGAATGCTACTAAAATATCGAATGGCAAAAAGTCAATTGGTAATTGGACGCTTTTTTCCAATATCATTAGCGATTTGTTTACTTCAATTTACTGTAAATTTAAAATAGATTTTCAGTAGTGTATATTTACAATCATTTAAATTTGCTATTTTGATTTCTCATTTTCCGTAACTTAAAACGTGTTATACATGGGCGTAGCTAGATTTTGTCTACCGGTGAGACAAAAAAATGCCAAAAGTCAGTACAAAAATCTGCTACCTTATACTTTAATCAACAAAACAATAACAAGACGCAGCAAGAGAATATCTGCAAGACTTTATTCAAGCATTCATTCTCCAACATGGTTACGGCCCTGCTTCCGCCCATGTTAGTATATGTTAGGTTAGGTTGGTGGGGATTTGGGATCCTCTTTGATCCCTCACTCGGAGGCCTTGGGTCTATTGCGATATCCCTATTATTATTGTACCAAACCTTCCTCTCATTCCTTTTGCTTTAAACCACTTCCAGCTCTTTACAAAGTTTCCGATGTCGCTTCTGCTGCTTCCTCTAGTACCTCCAAAAGACCGTACCCTAAAGTTTTAAAGCATTGGTATTCCAGTACCGGACAGTGACGATACCTAAAATTATGCATACTAGGTTCTTTTTATTCTGTAGTAGTTGTTTTGCCTTTTTGCTATCTACCACAGGCCACAGTCTTCGAGCTGTAGCACAGTCCTTAGGGTGTTGCCACGTCTCTTGCTGCTTGGCCTTGATGGTAGTTCTTATAGCTTTCTTCAGTGTGTTGATCGTCACAAGTGGTGCGTCATCTGCTACGGCCTCTCCCCTGGCCTCCACTTTGGAGAGTCTGTCTGCTTCTTGGTTGCCCACCACATTGTTGTGGCCTGGCACCTATCACAGAGCAGGCAGCACAGTGCTTATAGGCAGTCCATCACAGTTCGAGCTCACTGATTGCATGGTGGTGCTTTTTAAAGCGCCCAAGCTGTCAGAGTATACCTATCACGATATCTCCTATTGATTAGGTTAGGTTGAGAAAACAGTTGATAGCTGTTTTCTCTCGTATACAACTGGCCGCTTCCTTTATAGCGTAAATTTCTGCTTGTAGAACATTACAGCCATCCGATAGCCTTAAAAATCGTCGGTTGTCTAGTTCCTCTGAGAAGATGCCTATACCTGTGCCTCCTGAAGTCACTGAGTGAATCTCTTGAGTGAGTTACTATATCTTGAGCCGTGTTTGACACCATTTTAATTTGATTATACCTAATTATGGAACCTAATATAATTCTTCTAATTAAAACTTTTTGATTTTGTTTTTGTTAAGATAGACCTTAATGCCTATTATACATTACCTCATAGTTACAGTGTAAGTAAAAATGTAATGTGGTTACATCAGTCATCTAAAGTACCTAGGTAGTTAATATTAAAATAATGGTAACAAATCATGAAATTAACCTAAACGAATTATATAATTTGCAATCTAACCAAATAGTTTGTAAACTACCCAAGTAGCATAGGAAGGAGAAAAAAACATTGACCACGGAAAATTAACCACTATTTGGTTGAATTTTACTTATACTTAATAAATTTCTTGTAGGGAATAAAGTGCGAGAAATCTAAAAATGAGGTCGTAAACTAGTTAATAATAACCTCAAATTATGCCTTTGAAAAGTAGCAACGTTGGAGTTGGGCATTGTTAAAATCTAGTTACTGATAACCTATTGAGGGCATTAAGACTACAGGGACTTAAAGTAGGTCAAATGTTACTTTATTATAACCTCAAATTTGTCTCGGGGGTCAAAGGCATTGTTTGGTTTTCAAGTTAGGTTAAAATTTAGTTGTTAATAACTTTAAATTAGACCTTATTTGGAGGAGTTCAAATAAGGTTGAACATTTAATTTATTTCGACCTCATAAGTAAGTAAGTTAGTTTTTTGACTTGGAAGAAAGTGAGACATACGGCAGGTTAAAAATTACCTTTTTTAATTTCCTCGGGGTGATTTCGGTTTAAAATAGTTTTCGAGGGATTATTACGTCATAGCACATTACCTTGTTCCCACTGGTGGGCAACGAAAGAATATTCAATGCGTTTCTTTTTTATTACCGACACAATCTTAAACGTGTCCATTATGTGCAATAAAAACAAAAAGTCCTCTATAATAACACTCACAATCTCAAAACACAAAACTTTTAAAAATAATAAGCAAAGAAAACTAATTTGGTTTTCTAGTTAGTGTTCTAGTTTAGGCCAGTTCGGTAATTGCATCGACCAGCAAAATGATAAAAATTTTTCATGTCACGTGACTCTCAATAAAGATTCTCATTTTAGGACACATGATTACTGTGAAAAGTTAATCGGATTGCTCGAAGATGTAATTACCGAACTTAGCATAAAATATCATTGTCAACTGTCACTCAAAGAAAATAAAAGTTTTCTGTTTTACCGGCGATACTCCAACAATGTAGTCAAGACTTCGAGAAATGAGCTTCGACCTAATATAGCCCATTTTTTAACTTGCACCTCGAAGAAAAAATACCTTAAGCAAGAAATCTTGACCTTTGAGGTTATTAATATGGAGTCTAAAAGGAGGAGGCGAATCGAACGCAAAAATTTTGGGCCCAGATTTCATGATCTAAATGAAGTTCGAAGATCGCCGTTAGGGGCGCTTGTGATGATAGGGATACTAAAAATACACAGCTTCTTATGGCAAGAATAACTATTTTGTTATAAATTAAGTTGTTATTATAAAAATGTTTTATTATGGGGTTCTATTTAGTGCGTACATGGCCGAACAAAAATATAAGCTGCTAAAGTAAATGTTTTCTTCAACTGGTGTACAAAAAATATAGAAGTTCCAGCAACAAACGTATCAACAGTTCAACCTTTGATTTGATGTAAACAGTAATTGTTCCTTGATGAGAAATGTGAATTAAATAGTTTATGATGTGAGTGTGTTAGTGATTTATTAATAATTTTGCTGATGCAGTTTAAAGTTTCATAATTTTTCATGAAAACACTTGGAATGGACATGTTTACATGCAGTTCATTGTGATACTAATAATAAACATTAAAAACGTTTAAACTAGTAGTGGTTTTATAACAAATTACAGCAAATGAATGACGAAAATTAATCAGGAATTATATAATATAAACATTGCACTTATCGTGTTTGATTGGTGTTGTGTATCTCGTAACTTTACCTTTTTTTTAGCTTTTCAAAATTGTAAGTTTTAATGTCATCAGCAAAGTTTTGCCAATTATGACTGTTTCACAGACATTTAAATTGAAGATGTATTATGTTCAATGTCACCTAACAATTGTGTTATAAATACATATGTAGTATACATTTGATTTGATCTGTAATTAAAGTTCCTTCTGTTGATATTCACTTTACTATTAATACAAGTATGAGGTAGGTTTGTAAATAAAATAATAAGTCAAGGACTAACATATGATCGAAAAAAACGGCGTCCAGTTGGCTGGGAAATGAACATCTTTGACGTTCCCCATATAATTTTATATATAAAATGATCGCTGACGCCGTTTTTTCGATCATATTGTATGTATTCTTTCATATATTTATTTAGGCAGACAGTAGTATCTATGAGTAGTATCGACTGACTAGTGAGAAAGAAAATATAGGAACTAGTGAAGTTGCAGTCGGAAGGGTTTGGACTAGAATTAATACACTTTCTTTTTTTTTGTTAATGGTCAATCTTTCGGAATTTATTTATTCCATCCTCAGGACACTGAAATGGAAATACATGTTACAGAAAAAAGGCTATAAAAGTCGTCAAGTAGAAAGAACTTACTCAACGTGGTAAAAAACCTTCTCTAAAAACTACATTAAAAAATAGGCTTACAGGAAACATTGAAAGCATTGAAACATTAAATTTATTTATTTAGGAATATAAATGCATAACTTTTATTTTGATTAATTGACTAACTCCAAATAGCTAAATTTAATAAATGTAATATACACCTGAATATACAATAAAGAAATTATCTACTAATAGTAAAATAAATTATCTACCCTTATCTACTGATAGTTCCGTTTTGGTCCCGTCAACTAATTTTGTCTAAATAAGTGCATAAAACACATCACTACTGCGAAGTATTTTGTCTGGGGAACTGCCCTTTGCCAATGCTGTAGCAAGTTAGGATGTCTTTCTTCTTTGTCGATGCTAGGATCCTAGTCATCCTAGTAAAAGAGATATACCTATTATTAAATAAATTTTAAAAAATATTTTTTCACTATTCGAGGTAGGTAGCTGTTATTTTGAAACTACATTTTTGAAGTGTAAATAATGTTTAATATTCACTTTCTATAATATTCAAATAATATTTAATAGCAATGGTTGTTAATATATATTATTAATAGGTACCTACTTATTTAATAACAGGTAATTTAAACACCTAGTAGCACATATATAATAACATGTTAGTAGGTATTAAAGTATTAAATTATTATTATTTTAGGCTCTCTAGGTTATGTCATGCAGATGTTCGATTTTTAATATGATTTTTAAATAAATCTGTACACTGATAATATATAATTTTAATGTTTTTCTTAACATCTATCATAATTTTTTTTAATAAATAATCATATTACTTACATTAGGAGCTTTGAAAAGTTTTGGGTTACTTTTCTTTCTTCGCTTTTTTTTCATTGAAGCCAGATACCGAGCTATTTCTACTGTATAGTTTTTTTTCACAATGCTCATTGTTATACTGCTAAAAATTCAACAAATTAACTATAATTTTATCAAAAACAAACTTAAACCGTATAATAACAATGAAAATATAGTATCCCTATCGATCGCAGTGCCTCTACTGTCAAACCGAGGAACCTGCTTAAAAGTGGGGACAGAAATTTCAAATATGCCCATTGCCGATAAACCTCCTTTTTAAGCCCTCCATAGTTATTAATTTAAAGAAATCTTAACCTCATAAAAAGAAAGCGAACTTTAAGGTTTTAAAATTATGGAAAACCTAACTTCATAGACGAATAGTTAAAAACACCATTAGCGGCCATTTTCTTATCCAATTTATTTTCAAAAAATATTTTTTTGTGGTATTGTTCTAAACTACTGAGAAAAATAAACAGACGTTTATGAATAATACTACCTACCACAAGTTAAATTAACTAATTAAGAACTTTAAAAGAGTACCAAGGAAGTTAAAAAGTTAGGTTAGAACCTTGAAAGTGACGATTTATTCTAAAATTAATTGTTGAAAATACATAAAATTTTAATGGCGCAAAATTTTTTCGGGCCTATCATATTTACATTTCACAAAAAAATTTTCTCCGCAGACATAATTATCTTGCGAATCCAGTAATCCACTTCTTACCAATAACTTATTTACATTTTTATTTACATTTACTAGGAAGTGCATATACTGTTTGACCAGCGGATCTGAACGGAAGGAATGCGAGAAAAAAAAATCCATATTGCCACGTTTATCTATAAAATTGCAAAATTGCCAGACATGAACTATAAATTTAATATATTTTTATTATATATAATGTGTTTAGCATATATTCTGACGTATATTACTAAGGAATTTTAACGTAGTTCATATTGTTCGATGTGTTTTATTTAATAACTTATTTCTCTTTCATTCTGTATAACCTGCTTATTATGAAAGTTGAAGATTTTTTATGGATATCATTGGCAAACCGGCATCGCCGCGCATGGCCGCCTATTCATCGAACATGATTGGCGAGAGTACGTCACAGGATTTGTTACCACGCGGTTGCCATGGCTTTTACGCCTTTCCTATTCGCTTGCTTTATCCCCAACTTCACGGTCTCTTCTGAAAAGAGTAGGAATATTGAATACTATTGAAATATCCAGTGGCGGTGTCATATCCAGTGGCGGTTTGATCATTATTACTTTATTTCATTATTTTATACCGGTTATCCTAAACTTTATTCCTATATTTGATAGCTAAGTTGTGTTTTATTGTTTTGTTATCTTGTTATAATGTTTTTCGTTCGTAGTTTTTAATTATTAATATCAAGTTTGATCGTATATTTGTGTTTTAAAATGAATAAATTTGTTAAGGGTAAGACGCTACATAGCCAGACAAGAGAAATAATAGCTAATTTATATAGGTAAGTAGAATAATAATAATATAATTATTAAAATATTAAAATTAAATATTGGCTAAAATGAAAAACACATATTTTACCTAAATATTTTAGCTAAACTAAAATAAATATAAATAAACGTGGATGAAATCTCATTTGGTTTATTTCCTTGTGTTCATAATAGGGTTTGCGACGAAGAAGCTACAGAGAGTTCGCTTAAGTTGCCGCTTAAACGTAAACTTGAGTGGATATCTCTTTATACCGGAGGTAGCGTATCGGCTATAAAAAAATTCACACAGAAGATAAAAAAAAGGCTGGAAACTAACCCCGATAAAATGATATCCAGCCCTGGAAAGAAACGACCACGTGAGACTGCTGTTGAAAAGCTCGACGACTTTTTCCAAGTGGTCAGGAATTTGATAAATAGATTTTATCTCGAATTCAAACTCGTCCCCACAATTAGAAAGTTTTTGCAAAAATTGCAGGAAGAATCGAATTTTCCTTTGGCAGGGAAACGCTTAGGGGGTTATTAAAATCAAATGATTTTTTTTGGCGTAAATGTCAAGATAAATATTAGTGGAGCGGCCCATTATATTGCAGAGAGAGATATAAATATATACGCGAAATTCGAAGATATAGCCAAGTATTATCTATTTGGATGAAACATATGGGTAGACAATGACCTAACCTTTAAAAAGTGCTGGTGGAGCGATACCATATCTGGTGTAATAGGCAATATTGGATCTACTCGTGAGTAAAATTATGTTTTGTTTGCGCTTCCAAAGTTTGGTTGCAAAATTTTTTTTGCTGGAAATAGTTATATCTAAAATTATGTATTATAGAAAAAAATATAGTTAGTATAGATATATAAATAAATATACCTCAAGACTCAGTCTTGATCATCTGCTGAGGGCAGACATGGTTAGCTAAACGTGCGTCCAGTGTAAAATTAAAAGTATTTTGGTGTATTGTACTGATTTCGTGTTTTATTTTGCTGTGTAACACCAAAGGTTCCAACCCCCAACTGTAATTATTTCTTCTATTATATTAACAACACAATAATAAAATGATTCAAAATATTTTTCAAGGGAGCTTTAATAAAAGCTTTAAGTGTTTATCTGCTAACTCAACAGTAACGATTCAAACAGCATAAAGTTTTTTGAAAAAAATTATTAATCTGAATATTATATTTATGATACACATTATTTTCATATAACAGCGTACGCTCATGCCTATCTTATGAATGAAATTGGGCGTGTTTTGTTTACAACTGCGTTCCCCTGCCGATACCCCGTAGCTACAGATCCGTTGGTCACACTATATGTAGGTATTTCATCCATATTGGATTAATGTTCAAATGGCCATGCCAGTTATTACTACACTTGTTTGTCTTCTTGGTTCATTATTGGGAAATTAATTTACATACACATATTATAAAAAGAAAAATACTTTACCTTATTCTTTCTCTTTCTTTCCCATGTTAAAATGTAGGTAGTATAAATTACGACTATTTTTAGTAAAATTCACCTCTATTTTACCATGTTATGACCTCCGGTCGGTTATTTTTGACTTCATAGCCCATATTTCATACACGACATTATAACCTGTTAACCTGTTTTTAACCTCCAAATTACCTTAGTTTTATTCCCCACTTGGGGAATTTTAACTTCAATTTTTGGAAATTTCGACTAATTTCCAATTGGTTAATAATAGTCCAGGTGGTTAATTTAACGTAATTTTAACTTCAAATGTTTGTTGGGTAATTACTTTACTTATGGATTCTTTATAAATAACAGCGCTTTTAGTTAGTTTGCAAAACAACTGGTAGTTTTATAACTGACGAAGGATCCATTTAACCTTAAAATATCCATATCCATTTAAACGTAGAAAGAAAACTGTAGAAAGAGTGGGTATGCGTAGTTGCAGACAGTTGCAGCATATTATAAAGTGTTAATACCTATACTATGTGTTGCAAATGTTAAAAAAACTTAAAAACTAAACAACTGATTTTTATTTATTTTTTTAACTGTTAAGCTATAGGTACAGGGTGGATCAAATTCGACGCTTTTAAATGGAAACACCCTTTTCTATAGGAGATAGCCGAACACTAGTATCGGTGTCTGGAGCTCAATTTTCATCAAAAACATGATGGTGAAAACCGCACATCAATATCTGTTACCGTTTCGGAGTTACGGGGTGTTTTACAAAAATGTGCAGTTTTAACAAATCGCTGTAACTTTTTTGCTATGGAAAATTTTGTATTTCTATGAAAACATTTCCAAAGCACCTTTTTACGTATAATTTAATGGTTTAAGTATAATTTTTTTAGCATTGATAATTCAAGAGTTATCAACAGAAAAAATGATTTTTTATTTGGGACATCCTCTATATTTTTAATTAACTGAAAATAATTTAAAATTACCTTTCCAAAAATATAGCACACTTGATATTTTGTTATAATCCCCTTCGAAATACAGAATTTTTAAAAGTTCGCCACTTTAAACTAGTAGGCTGTGGACCCTCTATTAATGATATGCCCTTAATGGAACTCGAAAACATATTTTTCCAGCAAGACGACGCACCGCCTCCGAACGCTGAAGTTATCAGCAAATTTTTGCAGCCAACTTCAAGAATAACTGAATAGCTAACCAAGATCCCAGCCGTTGGCCGTCGATGCCGCCTGTCTTAGTGCCCATGTATCTAATCCTATGGATATATTTGCGGAAGAATAAAGGTTCCTTAAGCTTGATTTTCATGCATCCGTTGTCCGACGATACGATGATACGATATTAATTTTATTGGTTGAATTTAAAGACTTCGATTGGTTAACCGTTTCTAACCAATTGAAGTATTTAATGTCAACCAATAAAATTAATATCGGACCATCGTATCAACGGATAACGGACGTATGAAAATCAAGCTTTATTCTTCCGTATAATCTAGACAAGAATTAGAAATACTCAGCAGTTATGAGAGGGTATCTTTCACCCCCACTGAGTTAGTGAATTCCGCGAGAAATGTTCAAAAACTGCCCCGTCTATCCATAACAGAAGACGGTTGATACATCGAACACCTGTAGCAAAATTTCATGTCTTGATTTGCTATTTATTTTTATTGTTATTAGATATAGTAAATGTGTTGATGTTGGTTAAATATATTTTAAATTGTTATAAAATTCTGCATCTCTCATAGCAAATATTATTTTCGTTTTAATTGATGCTCACAGGTAGATTTTTTTGCATTACAGCCGGTGCCGTTCAAAGCCTACTTATTTAAAGCGGGTGAATTTTTATATACTCTATATCTCGAAGAGGAATCGAGCAAAATATCAAGTCTGTTATATTTTTAGAAAGGTAATTTTAAATTCTTTTCAATAAATTAAAAATATACAGGGTGCCCCATATAAAAAATCAAATTTTCTGTTGATAATTCTTAAATTATTAATTTTAAAAAAATTATACTTAAACCATTAAATTCTACGTAAAAATGTGCTTTGGAAATGTGTTCATAAAAATACTAAATTTTCCATAGCAAAAAAGTTACAGCGATTTGTTAAAAATGCATATTTTTTAAAAACA